TGATAAAAACATTCTGGCAAATTGTGGAACTGATTATATTTCAAAATGTCAAAATAAAACTAAAAATCTATTTTGGATTGATGTATTTAGGGCATGGAGAAAAATTATAGAAAAATATAAGTCCCCTAGCAGTTCAAAATGCCCATCTGGTATAGCAAAAATATTTCAATAGAAAATAGAAGTATATTTTACAGGGAATGGTACAATAAAGGAATAATTGTAATTGATGATCTAATCAGAGACAGAAATACCTATGATTTTTACACATTTCAAGAATTCAAACAGATTTATGATATTAATACAAACTTTTTACGATATCAGGGTCTAATTACTGCCATTAGAGAGTATATTATACAACAAGATATGTCAAATGCAGAGGTTAACTATCCATTTTTACCAATTAATATAGAAATGTTTTTGAAAAACAAAAAGGGGATAAGAGATTTTTATAGCTTATTTTGTAAAAATGATACTATTTCAACAGGTAAAAAAAAATGGGATGATCTATTTCAATTTGATGATAAAGTTTGGAAAAATATATATAAAATGCTATTTAAAATTACGAAAAATACTAAATTACAGTGGTTCCAGTACAGAATTAATCAGCACATTTTGACAACTAATGCATATTTGTTTAAGGCAGGAATAGTAGATAGCCCTTACTGTGAACTGTGTAAACTAGAAATAGAGACAATAGAGCATGTATTATGGGAATGTGACAAAGTACAAAATCTTTTACAAAATTTTGAGTTCTTATTAGATGCATTGATTATTCCATTTGATTATAATAAACAAACATTTCTTTTTGGTTTTTATAACTATAATGGACTTAATAAAAGGGACAATAGTATTATTTAAATAGTAAAACAGTATATATGCAAGGCAAGATGTCTTAAAGTTCCTTTATCTATACAAGGAATTAAAAGTTCAATTAAAGAACATTACAGTATTCAAAAATATATTGCAAATAGTAAAGACGAAATATATCTCATTAACTTCCAAAATGAGTGGAAAAAATGGAAAAGGCTTATTAATATTTCCTAGACCTACATTTTGCCGATTGTTTATATGTTTGATCTAATTTAAATTTATTTTTAAAAAAAAGAGACAAAATTTAAACATTCAATGTATTATCTTAATTACTTAGCTACTGACAACTATATATTACCAGACTTCTATCCTTTAAATTGGTTTGTTTAATACTGTACTTCTCCTCTTGTCTGTCTATCTTTCCGTCTGTCTGTCTGTCTGTCTGTCTGTCTGTCTGTCTTTCTTTCTGTCCATTTACCTATCTTTATTTCCTCTATTTCTTTGTTTTCTTGTTTCTCTTATCTGATTTTCCTTCCTTTCTAATATAACATTACAAGAAAATAAAATACCACTTACAAAAAGAGCAATATTAATTAGTATGAAAGTATGCGTGAAAGTGGAATTCATTATGTATAATGAAATGTATATGTCATTGTAATGTGAAAAATACTTTGAAATTAAAAAAAAAAAAAAAAAAAAAAAAAAAAAAAATATTGGGATAAGGAAGAAGAAGGATTTAAAAGTTTTACCTCTATTCTCCTATTGGGCCCCTCTTATCTGCCACCAGGGGGACCACACCCACCCCATTTAAACAAAATCGAGTCCCAATGGCCTAAGGATGTTCCGTTCCTAATTGGGATGAAACCTATTAATCACTATGGCAGAAGAAGTATTTTCAAGGTTTACCTCTATTTCCCCTATTGTGCCCCGCTCCTCTACCCCAGGGGGGCACACCCATCGTTTATACATAATTGAATCCCCTTGGCCCAAGGATGCTCCAGACATAATATTGGGATGAAATCCTTAATCCCTTTATCCCTACGGAAGAAGAATGATTTCAAAGGGTTTACACTCACCGTTGATACAATCTTTTAATCCCTACGGTAGAAGAAGAATTTTAAATGTTTTCCTCTATTTCCCATACAGGGTCCCGCTCCTCTGCCCCCAGGGAGGCAACACCCACTGTTTATACAACATTGAGAGCCCTTAGTCCAAGGATGATATAGACCAAATTAAGTTCAAATCCACTATGCCGTTCAGTACTAGTAGCGTTTCAAAGGAAAAGTTGACGGACGACGGACGCTGCGCCATGGCATAAGCTCACTTGCCCTCGGGCAGGTGAGCTAATAAAAATGGGGAATTAAAATATAAAATAAAAAGGGGGAATTATAATATATAGAAAAAGGGGGGAATTATAATACACAACAAAAAGGGGGAATTATAATAAATACATAGTAAAAAAGGGGAATTATAATACATACATTAACAAATAAAAGAGGGGGAGATATATTATTTACATAATGAGATAGGGGGGAACTATATACATAATAAAAAGGGGGGAACTATAATGTATACATAATAATAAAGGAGGAAATTATAAAACATAATAAAAGGGGGATATATACCATATACATAGTGAAAAGGGGATATATACTATTTACATAATTAAAAGGGAGATATATACCATAATCATAATGAAAAAGGGAAGATATACCATAGACATAATAAAAAGAATAAAGAATTTCTATTCATCTTTTTTCACATAGTTTTCACGGAGCAGAATGTCAAAACTTTAACAGGGCTTGTTTAATTATTTTTTTTACCAAATATCTGGGCTAGCGGAAGAGTTTAACCAAATGGTTTGGATATATATAATGGCTAGGTTTAGGTACAGAAAACAGCAAGAGAATACCAAAGTTTCCACAAGATAAAACTAGGGCAAAACACAAACAAAGGAAATATTTCTGTGGAGAACATAAAAAAGAACAATGATAAAAAAAGGGGGGGGGGGGGGGGGGGGGTACACGCCCCGTTTATATAAACTTCAGTTTCCGTCTCCTTTGTTCAAAGATGTTCTAGAACAAATTTGGTTGAAATCTTTAAATTAGTTAAGAAGCTTTTTGAGGATTTACCTATTTNTTTCCCCCCCCCCCCCCCATCCGTTAAAATAAAATATAATTCCCTTTTCCCAAAGATGATCTAGAACAAGTTTGGTTAAAATCCCTTCAGCAGTACAAAAGGAGAAGGATCTTTAATTGTTTCCTCCATTTTCCCTAATGGGCCCCACCCTTCTGCACCAAAAAGTAGGCCCACACACCTCAGTTTATATAACATTGATTCATTTTACCCTAAGCTTGCTTCAGACCACGATTGGTATAAATCCCTTCATTTGTACAGAAGGAGGAAAATTTTCCCTATTTGGTCCCGCCCCTTTGCCCCAAGGTGGCTACACCCTCCGTTTTTTCAAACCTGAGGCACCTTTGTCCAAAGATGCTCTATACAAAATTTGGTCAAAGTCCTTTTATTTGTTGAGAAGAACAAGAATTTTTAAGATTGACCTATTTGACCCCTATTTGACCCCGCCCCTCTGCCCCCAGGGGTCCATAGTCTCCGTTTATACATAGCTGAGAACCCTTTGGCCAATGATGCTCAATTTGGTCAAAATCCTTCAAGCCTTTAAGGACAAGTAGCGTTTTGAAGGAAAGAGTTGACGGACGGGGGCGACGGACGCTGCGCCCTGGCATAAGGTCACTTCGCCCTTCGGATGAGCTAAAAACACTGCGTCGATTCTGATTGGTTACTTGGTTTCTGTTCAATAACTTCCCTTAAAATAGTTCGATTTGAATGCAAATCAATGTTGTAGGGGTGTTCTCTTAGTGGCAACGTAATTAACAACAACAGGCCAGGTCTTGTTTTATGAACCAATGGTAAGTCAATTATAATCTGTTTTATAAATATACTGCATTTACCTAAATATTCACCTGCTATTTACCTATGTCATGCAACACACTGCCTTAGATTGCCTTTGCAATGTTTGGTTAACATAAACCATTAATGGCTCATTTTATCCATTTTAAAGTGTAATATCTTCCAAACATTGGAAAGTATCTCTTTATAAATTGAAGGACAAAAATATTCTATATTACAATGAAATATTCCTGTATCTGTGATAATTAGTACTTAACTAGTCCTTTATTATCTCAATTAGCTTTTTAATTAAGCATTAACATTTTATATACAAGCTTTCTGTATTCATTTTAAAAAGTAAGCAAAAATTATATAATGGAGGACACGTTTGAGCATTTGTTAAGCACAAAAGAACACATTTTTTTTCTAAAAGTTAAATGTCTAAAAATTAATTTATGAATGCTGAAAAAAGGAAAGAGAAACTGAAAATGTAAGAAAATACTTGACAATTAAGAGAAAAATTCAAATGAGAGGAAATTATATAAAAAGAAAATAAAAGAAAACATTCTTATATTAAATACAGGTAAGAGCTACTGGTTCCGTGAAGAGATTCTGATCTCATCCATGATGTTGAAGGCTGAAGCGGCACTGCACATCTGTCGACCTTAATGATACTTATCCCCCAGTCAATAAACCTATACATGTGTATAAGAATTGATTTACTATCTTTATTTAAGTAATTATGGCGTTGACTGCATTACCTTGTTAAATTGTTATTCAAATTGGTTTTATTTGTTGTATTTTAAACGGAGGGCGTGACCCCTTTAGGTGCAGAGAGATGGGGCCTAAAAGAGGAATTAAAGGTTTACATCTTTTTAAATCCTTCTCCATCAGTATGATTGGAGTTATTTTTACCAAATTTGGTCCAGAGCATCGTTTTGCAAGGGGGACTCAATTTGTTGAAACAAGAGTGTATTCCCCCTGGGAGTTGAGGGGAAGGGTCCAGTAGGGGAAACATGGTAATAATGTAAAAAAATCCTTTTACTTTAGCTGATTTGGAGGGTTTTAACCATATTTTGTGTAGAGCATAAATAGATGGTTGCTTTTAGGGGACAGAGGGGTGGGCCCGATAGGGGAAATTGAGGTTAATCCACTCGAATCCATGGGCAGAAAGAAGGGACCTAATGAGGGACGATTGTACCTGAGAGACCGAGCCAATATTTTGAAATAGTTGCAGTATATACGTAATAAGAATATTTGTTCATGGTTGCTTTATTATCCAGGTGAGCGATACAGGCCCTCTGGTCCCCTTGTTTTGTCTGTTTAATGTAGACGATGATCCTGAAGGCGACCTGTAATGCCGCATAGCGCCATACAACAATGCCCTACACTCACCACCACTCCTCTCAGCCCTCCGGGATGTTCTACACTCACCACCACGTTGCCCCTCATCCCTTCGGGTTTCTGGAAGATATTCGAGCAGAACTTGACCTCACCCGAGCCTACATACAGAGTGCGGAGATGGGAACCGTCACTCCACTGCTGAAACAGGAACTCCGCTACAAGATCCGGACAAGGCGCCTATCCGAGGGCAGGAGCGAACTTCCGGTTTCAGAGATCACACCCAAATCAGTGGAGAAGGTTAGCAGGACAAATGACAAATATTACCCAGAATATGCAGTTTTTACGTGTTTTCTTTCGTTTACTATTTTTGTATTAATACTTTAATATACTGTTATTTACAATAACTGTAAACCAACACTTTAACGTCATTATGATGTTTACTCTGTTATTAAACCTGATTGGACATTCGATAAATTTTTACAGTGATTTAAAAAATCCCTGTCTTATTTACATAATAATTTAATTGTTAGTTTAAAGGTTATTTTGATATCTTCAAGAACTTGTTAATTTCTTGTCCCGGTTTGATATATCAGGTATTATCTTGATATGGCTTGCGCCGTTATGCATAAAACGGCAATACAAAAATAACTGATACAGTCGTCGGTCGTGTTAAGTCAGCCGGAAACAAGTATTAAGCTCAATTGTAAGATAGTACGTTAATTCAGTATGTTATATATATGTAATATTCATGGTATCGTTCAGTTGACAGTTGACGACATCAGGAGGAGGATAGTACGACAAAAACAAAACAAAAAATCGACCAAACGGATTAGACAACGAGAGATAAAAAGAGAAGATGAACTCAGGAAGGTATATAGATTGTTAAACCTTTACGACATCACAAGTCAACCTAACGACCTTTCGTCCCAGCTATTTACTGGCGAACAGGAAGTTGGTTGATCAGACAGTAGGTACAGGGAGGGAAGGGGCATGACGTCTTTTAACTTTAACGAGTTAGACGCCCATGTACAGAATCGTCGATAGTAATGGTTTTGCACATATTTGAAAAGAGTTAGAAATTGTATATGACAGTACACTCCACATATGTATATGACAGTACACTCCACATACTGAGATGGGTAGTTTTGCCGCAATATGGACGTCGTTCCGAAACGGAGGGATTTTAACCACATTTTATCACGAACATCCTTGGGCAAGGGGAATTCAATTTTTGCATAAATGGAAGGTTTGACTCCCCTTCGGACAAAGGCGCGGGGCCCAGTAGGGTAAATTTAGGTAAACCTTAAAATTCCTTCTCCTTCTGTATAAATGGAGGGATTTTAACCAAATTTTGTCACTAACATTCTTGGGCAATTGTAATTCAGTTTTTAGCTAAGGCGTTAGCCGCAAGCTATTGGTATTACTTCAGTAATGAGCTCAAGATATTCATAAATGTCATATCCACCTATACCCCCTCTAGTGACAGGAGATGGTACTAAATTGAATCATATGCCGGGCCTACTGTCTTTATTATGCACTACTTTGGACTCAAATTCACTTGAATGGCTTGTAAATATAATTCATTTCCTCGGTAGAACATGTGATCTTATTACAACGTCGTATTTTCAATCGGGAAGTGCCAGTAGACTGTAGTTCATGCATGCTTCACGCAACTTCCTGTAAAATAATTCAGTTAATGAGCTCAGATATTCATAAACGAGACATACGTCATTTACCAGTAATACTAAGCAAACTGCAAATAAAATTCATTACCACGGACTCAAGTTCACTCAAAAGTCATTAGATCTAATCGTATTCTTAGTTAGAACTGAGTATTCTCTACAACTTCGTATTCTTATGAAAAATACACTGTATATTTACTCTTGGAACTGTCGCTGGATTAAGCGGTTACATGGAAATATTTACATTTGGTGTGGCAAAGCCCTTCTATATTACTACTTAAGTACTGTCAATAGCAGCTTCATCGTATGAGACAATAACTGAAGTTGGTCTTTGCAGGGCGTATGAATACATCTGACTTGCACAATGTAAACAAACATGGCCGCCATACACTGTCAACTTACATTGAAATGAGGTTTAAAGAAAATGTCAAAATGTTTAATAAAATATTTTCTGATTAATTTTCTAGCAGTTTTTTTTTAAATAACAAGATTTAGAGTGAAATTTGAAAAAAAAATCCAAAAATGATAAAAAAAACCTTTTTTTACTGAGTGGGTTCTGGGTAATTACACTGTTGTCTGCTGCTGCTGCTGAGATGGCTGAGCATCAAGAGCTTGGAAACTTTAATCTTCAAATTCCAGCTTGTTTACAAGAAAGTGATAATGACGGAATACCAAGTGATGATGATACTATTTTTGCAACAGTAAGCATGGCAGAACTTCTTGGGGTAGTACCACCCGATATATCAGAATTGTTGAATGAAGCAATAAGCAGCATTGATACTGTTAACCCTCCAACAGAACCAAAAACTGATCAAAATAATGTTCATCAAACTGAAGAATGTGACCAGGAACCTGAAGCCAAGAAATCAAGATTCTCAAGTGTCTCTAGTCATGATTTGGAGCAATTATTTGCGGAAAGACAAGGACCAAGCACTAAAAAAAATACAGCCTGGGGGGTGAAAATATTTCAAGGTAGGCAAAACTTTCAATTATTGTTCTCAATGTCAAATTAATTTAATCTAATGGAGCGCTTTCGGTAACTGCAAGTCAAAGAGTCAGTTTTGCTTTGTTTTGCATTTTGAAAATGGATTAATTTTACATAAAAAGCCTAATTGCTTTGCAGAAATTGATAAGTTACACAGTATGTAAATACGATAAATATAAAACTGGACAGACCACTTCATTTTTTTTTATTTGAACATAATGTCTATAGTCCAAACAAATGGAACTTTCCTGAAGAATATCATATTGTGTACATCTGATTGCAGCAGCATTCAAGCAATCAAGACGCATTTTTGTTGCAATAAAATGTAAAGCAATCAAAAAAGGTCTCAACTGGTACAAAAAATGAAAAGTAAGTTCAATTCATCAGTGGCAGTAAGTTCAAGTGGTGGCCTCTGTTTATATATAATGAAAACAATTCTGCAGACTATCTATTAACTTCATCTCTTGTGTTTCAACCCTTTCATATTTTGTTTTTTTGCTATCAGAATGGAACAAGGAGACAACAGGAGCACACTTGGATATGGGAATTGTTCCTGTCCACCAACTTGCTGAAAGTCTGGGAAAATTCTACTGTGAAGCTCGGCTTCTCCCCAAAAATGAAAATGACGTAGAGAATCTGTACCACAGGAACAGCCTCATCAGCATAAGAACAGCAATCAACCGTCATTTATCAGACATTCACAGGAATGTTGATATTGTTCGCGACACAGAGTTTAAAACGCCCAATGGTATACTTGATGGGTTACTGAAACTGAGTTTGTTTAACCAATTTGACAAAAGTGCAGTAATGAAACCGATCGAATCGGCAATATGGTACACAAATAAATCTTTGTCAAAACGCACATTCGCGAAATTCATGTCCAACATATGTGTGGCAGCCAAGATCGACAAAAAGTACACCCCTCATTGTCTCCGAGCAAAAGCTATACAGCTCCTGAACGACCAAGGTTATGAGGCACGACATATCATGTACATGAGTGATCACAGATGCGAGTACAACAGAAATGTAGCAAATCACCAGAAGAAAGCACTCAGTTCATCATTGTCCGCCATCGTCCAACCGAAAGCGAAACATGGCGTGCTCGAGGTTCAGTCATACGCTACATCACCTCCGAGCGACTTAACAGTGTCACTACCGAACTTACAGGTATCTTCTGGTTTGATCCCGAACACCAGCTCACTGTCTCAAGTGTCTGTGAGGTCCACACACAATTTTACGCCTGGATTTTTCAGCAATTCAACCTTCTCCGGTTGAACAATCACCATCAACAACCTGCCGGACTGCAAATAACTCTGACCTGATTACTGCGGGCTTCCGTTGAGTGCGTGCGCCGGATATAGGTCGGAACATGTTTTACAACACTTGGATAGTTAGTTACAAAATGTTATTTGTTACTATTTTGTGAATTGAGAATATGATATATATAAAGTAAAAACATATGAATTATTAACGAAAGTTGCGTTTTAAGTCTTTTCAATTTTGTATGGAAAAATAGCGCGTGACGTCAGCTGTTATCTTTGCTCCATTCTAGATATTGACCTGACCTGACGGTAATAAGCGGGAAATTTGAAACTTGAAAATACATCAATTATTTTTTGCGAATTCTCATAACGAAAACATAAATATAAGCAATAAACTGCATAGATTTGGCAGACCAACTGGTATAACTGCCAGTTGGTCTCCCACATCTATGCAGTTTATTGCTTAAATACTGTCCTCTGATTGGCTGAAATGTGTGACTCTTGCATTTACGTCCCGGCCTACATTTGTGTGGTCAGAGCTATGAAGCGGTTAACTAACTGAGCAAAATCAAAAGTGCTAATCTGTAATAATATATAAGATTCACGCCTTATATGAGTATAATGTTATCAAAATATTGCATATTCGTTGAAATAACAAATCCTTACTAAAAACTCTTAAAATAGAAACGACCGCCATGTTAGATCACGCGTGATGTTATTTCAATTATCCGTTTCCTTATATGGCCTACACGGCCAAATATAGTATTACTACTGATGCCGTCATGTTTACTACAATTTCCATATTTGGTCATGGCAACCATATTAAGATGTCTGTCCTATATGCTATCGGAAGACGGACGAAGTTTCCAACATGGCAGTCAAATCAGATTTCGATTGCACTTGCTACGTAAACTTGATAATTTTACGACATATAAGCAGGGTATAACTTAAAATTATGTAGGAGATCAACAGAAAAAGTTCATATTACAAACCTAAAAGTGGATGCGGATCCTGTCAATTAATTCTAAAATCGCCTTGTGTGATTCACACCAGGCTTGCTCAACTAAAAAGACATGGGTGGGATCGCCCGGCCGGGTATTAATATTAGTACTAGCCAGTTCCATATTGGTATTCTAACATGAAACTTTTTTTACCTTCTCAGTATATTCATTTTGTTCCATTTTCATCCTAAGATATTCTCTTGCGTTTTTATATCAATGATTAAATGATTAAAATTAAAAGATGAGGTGTCACAAACGCCTGCTCGCTAACAGCTCGGCCAGAAACGAAAAATATGCGCCGATAAGCCTACTGTACATTTTTATGTCTGTTGGTGTAATTTGTGTATTTCATTTATTCGTCAAGTATTACCATATAACAGGACGATCTTTTTCATTATACACAATAACAACAACAAATCAATACTTGATGAAGATAAATCTATTTCGCCTTCGGAATGATTTCAGACGTGTACTACGGGAAGAAGACGAGTGATCTCCCTTACATTAAGCCTTAGACATGCGCACATTTTACTTTCATTTTGTGTAGGCCTAGATATCGTTCGCAACGCGAAGCGGAAAAGACGAAAATGCAGGCGAGTGTTGTCTCAATGTAAGGCAGGTTGTTTAAGCAGCATTGACATTGAACAATATGCATACATTTCGGCAACGTTTACCTACAACTGATTCATAAATAAAGATCTGGATCCCGATTTCGGTGATTTGTGGCCAAGCATGCGGCCACACAGGCCCACAGCCGCAGAGAATGACGCATGTTGTCAGCGGCGATGACAGAAAGGAAGGTGCTTCAACGGTATGTATAGCAGTGATTATGCAAAAACAAACAAAATGAATGGACTTTTTACACTAGTGAATAACAGCGTCACAAGGTGCTCCAGACATGTTACAAAATTTTCGAACTAGGCTCAGTTGCGAACTGATTTCGCATTGTTTGTGAGGATATTTGGCCTTACATTTCTTCTGATTCAGTTGAAAAAAAAACATGTGTGATGTTGGCTGTCATTTAAGTTTCAATTGTTATACTACTTGATGTTTTGGTAACTTAAAAAAGTATAGTAGTTCTAAATATTATGAAATGACAGAAACATTAGGCCAAACAAATTACTTGTGTTTCTACTAGCAGAAAAAATAGGGTAGGTATGTATTAGCTAGGCATTTTATTGTTAATTTGAAAAATATCTTTACTGTGCTTATATAGAGCAGGAGTTCTGACTTTCACAGTGCATATACAAAATAAGGGTATTGTAGGCACACAAATCTAGGATAGGTCGGGTTAGCCACAGGTGCCGGACACACCAATAAGTAATGTGTGATAGTTTATACACATATTACTATTGGTGTGTCCAGTATCTGTGGGGTAAGCAGAAACACAATATTTGTTTTAATTGGCCTTATTTAATGATCATTACTAGGTCACACAGGGCTCGGTTTCCAATTCGGAAACCTGTTAAAACAGGAATCATTTATAATTCTTCGCAGAAAAAATGGAAATATATATATTTTTTTAACCTTTTCTGAGTTGTACAATTTTAAAGTATCTTCTGTCTGAAATCTGAACATTACTTGGTTTATGACAAAAGGTGTAAAAAAAATCTCATACTGGGGAAAAGTTTTTCTATATTATAGTCCCAAAAACTACAGTTAAAATCCTATAAGCACTTACAAGATACAACAATATTTATTTTATGTCAATTTTGCAAAACATACAACATAAGCTACAAAGAGCTTGTATTTGGTCAAAACATGAGTATAATAACAGAGACCAAAACATTATAACATGAAAAAAAATGAAAAAAACATACATGTACTATACTGTTAACAAAGAAAAAGAGTTTATGGAAAGCATTTTGCACATAATAGGCACATTGCACACGGTAAGCACATCAGCACTTGGTAATTTAAGCACATTAAGCACATTTGGGTACAGCACATAAAAAACAAAACCATCATATGGAAAGCTTATTAGCTCATAGTAGGCTTATTTGCACACAAAGGAGTGCAATAGACATCTCCATGTTTCCTGGTTATTTTTTTCTTTCTGGAAACAACCAGAAAAAAATATTTCCTTCTTTTTCCACAAGAGTACTGTTTCAACTTTATCAGGCTTTTCAATTCGAAGGTTAATATATAAAAAGAGAGATAATTATGTTTTGTTTTTACTGGTACCTTTTTTATGTACACATGTTTTACCATTTAAGAAACCTGTTAAGGTGTCTTAAGCCCCCATGAGATGTGATGTTATAAGTTGACTTTCATGTACATTTTGTTTATATTTAGTTCTGCTACCAAAGAGATTGACTTACTGAAATGTTTGTTAACCATTTTAATGAATTCCTAAGCTTTAATGCCTTATTTCTCACTGTACAAGCTCATCATACTGCATGACTCCTATTTCTTTTGAATATTGTCTCTAAACATTATTATTGCTGGTGCAGAAATTATATGGTGACTATGTTCTATTTTAGGGGAAAAGCAATCAATATTACAACAGACAGGGATGGTTATTGATGGGAGAAAGGAGGATGAGAAATAGCAACTGAATCCCCTCTCTCATACCTTTGAGGACTTCATGAACTTTTTCAAAAGGCTGCAAGAACTATACCAACAGTGACATGACATTTTTAAGTCTATCAGTTACCGTATATAGGAGGAACCTCTTACTAAATCATTTTCTCTTAGGCTGATGACAGCCGAGTCCACAGATCCTTCCAACAGCAAATAGTTCAAATACTTTCCTTGCAAAATGGAGAAGTCGGTGATCTTTACTTGGGAGTGGAACAGATTGAATCTGTGATTATTGATGCTGAAAGCCTGATGAATGTGATTGAACAGCCCCTACTGACTAAAGGCACTAATGTTGGAATCTACGTTTGTTTTGATCAATATAACACTATGGGTGCTGGGAGCAAATTTGAAAAACATTAAAAATATCTTTTTAAAAGATAGAAATACTGGTCATGAGTTCCTACTAGTTTTTGTCCAGTGAATTAAAAGTCAACGCAAATGTTAAGCAGTAAAAGAAATGTAACATCCCTGGTACACATTGTACTTTTATTAATGCTTATGCTCAATATCACTAAAATAAAATAAAAGTTATCATGTGTAACTTGATATTTGTTAATTTCACTCGATTTTACCGTGTCCAACTTTTGGTATCAAATCTTGTGTGATATGAGAGGAATCACACACATGATTGTATCTTGGCTATGTCAATGAAAGCAATTTTTTCTTAAGTTTTCAACCATATTTCTTGAAACTTCATTTCTAAATTTCATCCATCAATTGTTCAAGACAGTTTTAAGGTCAAGTTCATACACTCAAGGTGAAGGCTACAGCTACACAACCTGTACTTGTGACAGGGTAATTGTCAGTGCTTTCCTAACTAAGTATTCAAACAAAATTTTATAAAACTTACTCCATCATTCTGAACATCAAAACATGCACTGCAAACAAATACACATGCAACCTTAACTTTCAATAAGTCTTGTTGTCAACATTTGTTGCACAATGGTATCGAAACCAACAATAATGACAACGGTAATAACAAAGTATGTGCTCTAGATGGTACATTTGCAGTACTCTTTTAAAATACATTTGAAATTGATATGTGCATCTTATTTCAAATGCTAGCCTATGACAACGATAAAGCTGAACATATGCTATACATTTCTTTTTGTGAAGAATTTATGCAATGGAAATAGAGGGAAAATAGTGTAACTCTCTTAATCTTGTGTGTGTGTGGGTATGTATGTTTATATTTTGGTTATCTTATTCAATATTGAAACATACAACAATGTATTATATTGTATTGGCTTTTTAACTTATTTGTTCCTAGCAACACTGATGCAAAATAATTCCATTTTGCATATTAAAGTAGAGACCTTTTCACTGCAGTGAATATGTGAAACCATTTTTTTAAAAGCTTTTCAAAATTTTTGACAGACTTGTAAAGGTACATTGTATGGGAAGCAATCATCCACTAGTCTGTCCACAATTTGGTTTCAGCAAGTTAATATCCTAAAATATTGTTCAGTTTTAATGAAACTTGAGTTTGTGTATAAACAATATAGACAGACTGATACAAAATTGAAACTTGAACATAATTCACACGTATTAAAACGCATGCATACCCTGGTCAATGTCCACACTTTACAAGATAATTTGCTTGAATATATACA